AAAGAAACTCACACCATGAAGAAAATCCATCTTTTCAAAAGTTGCGAGGTGATACACACGTAGGATATGGCATAAACTTTATTTTTGGTTTTTGCCATAGGGTGCGTCCACTCGCAGGACAGAGAGACAGTGAGAAGGAAAGTAAGAAATCACATCCCAGGGAGGATGGCCAAGCTTTAATCCCATCTCCTCCATTCTGTTCTGGGGATTTGGGGCACGTGGGCGTGTATGGGTGTGTGTGTGCGCATGCGCGCACACACACCCACACAGACCATGATTTTCAAGTGTGTATGGGTGTGTGTGTGCGCATGCGCACACACACACCCACACAGACCATGATTTTCAAGCTGCCACGTTTGGAACTCGAACTACAGTTGGCCATGTGAGAGTCCAGTGCCACCTACTGGCCCCTGGCCTAAAACTTCTTTAAAAAAATAATTAGTTAATTAATTAATTAATTAATTTTAATTTGACCAGAGAGGGAGAAAGAGAGGAGGAACAGAGGAGGAACAGAGAGGGAGAGAGAAAAAGGAAAAGAGAGAGAAAGTGAGAAAGTAAGTTGCCAGGTTCAGGACTCAAATCATGGTTGGCAACATGGGAATCTAGTGCCCTTAGCCACCATACCACCTTCCAGCCCCAAAATTTCTAAACAACAGTAACACTACTGTAGGTTGCCAGTTTAGAGACTTAACAGACTGCAGGGCCGTGCCTACCTGGTAACCACAGTGAAGACATTGGGCTTGTTGGTGAAGGCCTCTTTCAGTCCAGGTCCTTGGGCTTGAACCCGAGATGGCTGGCAGCCTTCGGTTACGGCCACTTTGAAGGGACTGTTCGGAATGGGCACATCATCATATGTCACCTCCACTACATGAAGGCCTATTCAGAACAAGAAACAGAAACATTTATTTGCAAGGATGCCATCTATTTGTGGGAAATGACGCTCCACCTAGCATTCAAGTCTGCATTGCTATACTATTTCAAAATAGCAGGTGAAAAAAAAATCAGTAACATTGGTATGACCTGATTTTCAAAAAAATACAAATTATTTATCCTTTGTATTCATTGGGCAGTCACATAACCCACCCTCTCCACTCCCATAAGCAAGTATCACATGATGGAGGAGTCTTCAAAAATTCCATGGAAAATGCACATTATTTAAAAAAGGCATGAATTTCTTGGTTTCTTTGTTTGTTTGTTTTTTGAGGGGCAGGAGGGTGTACCAAAATAGACTTGGACTTCAATTCCCTTTTCCAGGAATGTTTTGAAATTTCCCACATGGTGCTTTTCTTTGCTTTCTCTATACTTTTCTGATTTATCAAGACATTTTATAATTTCTCATATTCAGGAAAGAAATTACTATGCAAAAAAAAAAATTGCACATTCGAGCAACATGCCAGGAGATCCTGCAATAATGAGGCTGAGGCTGACCCAGGGCCCACCTGTTTCACTGCACCAAGGCAAGCAGCCAGGCCCTGCTCACCAGGAAGGTGAGTTCCAGCTTCCTCGGCACTTTCCATGTGCCCCTGCCGAGACAGCTGGGCACACTCTGTACCAGCCGCTGGGAGGAAATGGCCAAGCACAGATCTGAACGAGGGTCGTGGCATGGAGGCGACTCACCTTTCTCAAAGGGTGTGTACTCCACTTGGTAGGTCCCGTCAGCATTGTCTGTGACGTAGCACTCGGTGGACGCCCCCGAGGGGTTGGCAATGTGGGCCTTGATGTGGTCTCCCCCGACCTGGGTCAGGGGCCGCGAGTCAACCGTGAAGTCAGTGGTCGCTTCCCGAAACACATCTGCAGAGCGACCACACGAGTATGAGCACCGCCAACAGCTCAGACCACGGGGCGAACACAGGCACCAAGTTGTGGGCACTTTAGAACACGAACTCACAAAAGCAGGAGTACCAACCCCTTCCTGCCCAAAAGGAGCCCCCTCCAGGGTAGTCATGGCCAAGTGACAACGCAACCCCTCACACCAAGGTAGGGACCCAGGACTGGTTAAAGGGCAAAGGCAGAACTGCTCTGAAGCCTGTGGGGTGTTAGCCAGGACCACACCTTTAACTTTTTCAAGTAAGTGCCAAAAGTAGAATATGCAGAGTTTCCACATAAACATCAAAATTTTTGGCTTTTTTTGGCCCCACAAATTGAAAAATCTGCTGGCAACGTGGGGTCCCCAAGGTCCACAGAAAGACAGGGAGGGCAGGGACAGCAGTAAGGCCTCTGCAGATGCAATGCTCACCCTTCGCTCTGGGCCCATCCCAACACCCCCAGAGCCAGACGTCACGTGTAGACATTGTCTTACATGCCTGGCCCTGGGGTGGCTGTCTGCCGCTCCTAACCTGTGAGTTTTGGGTGGCCCTGAAGTCCCAGCCTGTCTGAAACCCACCTCTGCCTTCTATTCCTGGCCCAAAGACTTTGACCCTGCTGGTGTCCACGGCGGGGTCCACCTTGACCCTGGCAGGGAAGTGTGGCACGAGCTCGCCGCCGTACTTCATGGTGAGCGTGTACATGCCGGCGGTCAGGGGCACGTAGGTCACCGCGTACGTGCCGTCCTTGTTGTTCTGGACAGAGACCTCAGCTTTCGCTCCGGAGTCCGAGACGGCTTCCAGCCCCAGGGCCCCTGGTCCTGCTTCCGAACAGTCAACGCTCAGGAGCCCGGCTTCGCCCACTTTTCCATGCTCCAGACCCGGCCCCGATGCCACGACCTTGGAGGGGTCGAAGGGCATTTCGATGTCAGCTTTAAAGGGTGACCCAGGTATGTGGACTTCTTCGAAGAGAATGTTGACGAAGTATTCCCCGGGCTTTGTGGGCAGGTAAGAGACAGAGCAGGTGCCGTCGCCGTTGTCGGAACATTCTATCTTGGCCTCGCACGGCCCCTCCACGGTGAGACCCAGACCTCCAGTGCCAGCTCCCTTGGTGTCGATGGTGAACTCGGCGGGCTTGCCCACGAGACCTCCCTTGAGGCCAGGACCATGGGCCTTCACCTATTTGTACAAAGAACGCAAGTCAGAGTCCAGCTGGCGCTGGTGGACTGAGTTAGAACCCACCCTGAGTTAGGGCCCTGAATAGCCAATGCTCCAAATACCTAAGAACTCAGTCAACCGAAAGGCATGGCCCTGGGTGGCACAAAACAGTGGAAGTGGTGACCCTTCTGCAACCGTTCTCTCTCCTGCCAGGCCTTGCTCACTTGAACCACAGGCCTGGGCTTGGAGGCCTCACGTCCAGTCAAAAAGACACACTCGGGGTCCTGGAGCAAGGGCCCACACACAGGCTTTCATGGACCAACAGCGGAGGATGCTGTTGCTACACTTCATTCACCAAATTGTGCATAATAAAAACCTGAATCTCTTAAATGCAAGGAGGGATGAGGTTGTCACCTCAGCCAATGAGGAAGACCGTTATATAGGATTCGTGCCACCAGACATACACCAAGACCCTTGAGTGAGGACCACTGGGAAGAAATAATCGTGAGAATAATACAGTTTTATTCTGTATTATACTATATCATGTTATCTTTGCTTCTGTCGGGGGAGCTCGGTCTGCGTGCCAGTGCTGGGCTGAAGCCACATTCACTCCCGCGTTGCCCTTAAAGCCGGGCTTGGAAGCAGGCCCTGCTCTCATGCTAACGAGCGGAAGAAGAGGACTCAGATGGCGAGTTGGGAGCAGACAGCAAGGAGGAGCAGGATGTGACCCCGCGCTCCAAGAGACCCTTCTCACTGGGGAGAACGAGTCAGCCCTGAGAACTAGTGTTCTCCAGGCAAGACCACAAAAGGATTATCATTCCATATGTGACCACGGTGGGGTAAATTCTGCAACAAAAACCAAAGTTGACCTTGGTGGGGTCTGGTGGCAGCGAGGCCTCCACCGTGTAGGGGCTCCCCGGCACGGGGTGTCCATCGTAGGTCACGTCGACGGCGTATAGCCCTTCCTCCCGTGGGATGAACTTGGCTGTGCTGCTCTCCCGGCCCGCCACGGGTGCCACCAGGCATGGCACGACCTTCCGGGAGGGACTCAGGATGGTCACCTCCAGCTTCCCCTGGCCTCCTGCCCCCTTGGTGTCGACAGCAAACTCTTGATCCTTCCCAACTTCGACCCCTGGAAAAGGGAAACACGCCAAAGTGAAGAGTTGGCCCTTTGAGCAGCAGGAGCGAACGAGATCAGGCACTATGGTTCTTTGGATGGGGACTTAGCTCAACCTCCATAGCAAGGAGTGGCTAGGGCAAAGGACCGGCAGCAAGACTAACCGTAACCAATAGCAATGGATGCAAGAGCAGTAACACATCAATGGTGCTGATAATAACTCATTTCTGAATGCATTTTATATGGCACTGCAAACGGAGCACATTGTCACCTCTCATTGTCAGCACAATCCTAGGGGGCATTATTAGCCAATGGTTTTAACAAATACAGAGACTGAAGTTCAAAAAAGTTAAGTAACTTGGGAACCAGCAGTTAGCGTAATGGCTATGTCACTGGACTCCCACGTAGTTGACCGCGGTTCACGTCCTGGACCCGGTGGCTTAGAACTCAGGCCGGGTGCGTGTGCATGCGCGCCCAAGATCCTGAGAGGAGAATGGAGGAGAAGGGATTGCGGTATGACCATCCCCCCTGGGGGATGCTTTCTCGCTTTCTGTCTCTATGTCTCTCTCTGTCTGTCTGGCGAGCACACATGCCCTATAGTGAAAAACTTCTCAAAAAAAAAAGTTAAGTCACTGGTCCAGGTTGTCATATCCAGAAGGCCCACAAAGCTGGGACTCAAACCTCAATGGGCCTGACCCCACCCTCTGCTCTGCTGACCAGTCATTTACAATCTCACGTTGTCTTCTCTTACATTTAGTGACAACGTTACATCATAGCGCTCCCCCCACACATCAATGTTTTATCTACTAACTCTTAGAAGCAAATTTAATTCTACAGCCACCCCTCCCTGCAAGAAGGCAAATGTCATCAACATGGCAAATGTAGGGGAGCTGATGCAAGGGAAGAGAACAGCCCTGCACTGGGTCAGGTTGTGAAAGGTCTTTGCAAGGTTGCAGGGAACCCAAGTGTTAAACTTAACGAACACGGGAAAGGACTTTAACCCAAACAAGGCACTGGGAACGCAGGGCCCCAACACGACCTGGGGATATTTTGACTTGGGCAATACAGGGCTTGCCAAGATGGATTCAGCTGAGCCGTAAGCAAAGAGGTTGCAGAACTCTACGACCCATAGGGGAAGAGGCTTTCTCTGACTGGTATCGTGCTTTCCCTGCTCCGGGGGGCCAAAATCCTCAGTATCTTGGGGAAAGGAGTGGCCAAGGGACACAGGAAAGGCCTGGGCAGTGGTGGTTCCTACACACGGAGCCTGCTGTCGCCAGCCATAAACCCACACTTCCAGGTACGTAAGTGTTCTCGACCCCCGTCCCCAGCCCCATGGTATAAATAAGGAACCGAAGGCTAGGTTAGGGTCCCCGCATAGCCCTGATTCGACCCAAAGCCACCTGGCGGCAAAGTCTCTGAAGACAGAACACGGTTCTCTGCCAGTTCAGTCTCCGGAGGAAATCAAACCAGCTTCAACCAGCCCCTCTCCCCTCGGTTCACACACTCACTGTTTTCCAACCCATTGATTTTGATCTTGCTCAGATCCAGTGGAGCCGCAATGCCCACGGTGAACGGGCTCTTAGGGATGGGATCGCCGCCGTACGTCACCAGGACCTGCACGTTGCCCTGGAACGAGAGAGAAAACGCGTCTGCTGTGGGTCCGCACTCACTAACTCGGGGTTCGCACCACCCCCGCACTGCGATCCTTCCCCCTCCCTAGAGACGCGGCACCAAACGCCAACGGGCTCGAGAAAGCATCCGACACATCTGTCTCTAAGTTTCGGGCCCCAACGTAAGAAAAACAGCAATAAGATAAGAGCAGCGAGTGTCAGGGACGACGTGGCTGTGCTCCCTGCTCTTCACCGTTTCCTTCATTCAATCTCCAAACGTCTCGGGGGTAGTGCCCACTGCCGACCTCATCCCCCCAGGAAAGGAAACTATGGCGCAGAGAGGTAAAGGCACAGGCCCCACGTAACACACCTCGTAAACGTGAGAACTGAGCATCACGCCCACACCTAGCCCTGGCTACTGGGCCATGCCACCCGCCCACCCAACACACACACCCTGGCCATGGGTACCAGCAGCTAGGCCTCGCCTCCACCCATACCATTTCCTCTATGCCCCAGGGGTCCATCTCAGGCCACCAAGCTACAGGAGGGATTTGCAAGAGGTCCCCTGGCGCTTCCCTAAGACCCTCACACTGTCAGAACTCCTGTTTCTACACGAAGGAAAGAAAAGTTGCAAGTGTGAAGGCAATGAGATTGTGTCCTTGGGAATTACAGGTCCCTCCAAGATGCCCTGATGGCCACGTGTGCCTCGGTTTACCTCCTGTCAGATTCCGGGCCCCTCACTGCAGGCCTTCTCTCTCCACAGCTGGCCAAGTCCCCTCCCTCCAAACCAAGGCAATGAAAGGCCGTGCTGTCTCCGTGGGTCACAGCTCTCTCACCTCCCTCACCTCCCTCACCTCCATCGTCCAGGTCATGGGAGGAGGAGATGGCTGTGGGAGAGAGGCGATTCTCCCACAAACCCAGCAGGCTCGCTGGAATGCAAGCCCTGTTGAAAGCTGCCACTGGTCAAGTGTTAAAGGACATAGCTTTTGACCTATATATTTTTTCTCACATTCCTTTTGTAACAAAAGGGAGAAAAGCCAAGGAAAAAAATTGATGGTGTCAATGAAGGGGGACAGAATGATTTTTCTAGGATTTTGCAGCATTGCACACAGAACCGACTGGCCTCCTGTTGCAAAGATGTAATATTTCATGGTAAAATGTGCACGGGTCAAGTTCACAGCTGAAAGCCAGCGCGGGGGCAGGAAAGGTCTCGTCACATGTAAAGGGGGACTGGTCTGTGACTCCAGCCACTGCGGCGTCCACAACACCCAACTCTCTCCTCCCCAAGTTGCACTTGGCTCACAAATCCCGAATTCAAGGCCAACCAAGGGTCTTCCCCACCCCTGTAAGTTTTCTAGTTCCTTCTCTGCAGTGCTAAAAGAGAGAGGAAAAAATCCTCTTCCTGTTAAGTCCACTCACTGCATAAAAAAACTTCCTTACTGTCAGTCATAAAAGCAAAACAAAAACCCAGATAGGAAACTAACTCTACCTTAAATAACCTAGAAAGGGGGAGGGAAGTTTTTCAGCGATTTATACTTCCGGGGCCTAGAGCACTGTAAGGTTGCCCTTGAGACCCCAGCGAGGGAATAAATTGTGCTTATTCCCCATAGGGCTGGCTGTGCAGTGAGAGGCCACTGAACAATGGCTCCGGGGCACTTCAAGACTTCACTAGCTGCTGGGTGGTTTCATTCCCCCCACCACCACCACCACTACACTTCTCAGACCTGGATCATTTCTTCTTTTTTGCCAAAAGTCACATGTACCAGCCAGAGGGAGAGGGAGAGATGGCACCCCTCAATGGGACGCCACAATCCTTTTGCTCCATTTCTCATCCGTCGGGATTTGGGGCCCACACAGTCTCCCTGCTGTTGGTCACGTGAGATCTGGCTCTCTACGCACAGGGCTTACCCACTGCACGATGGGACCAGCTTCAGACCTAACTCAGTCTGCACAAGGCAAGCATGCAAGACGCTGGCCCAGTAGCTCACAGTCCCCTCTCCTGCAGAGCCCTCTGGGGGCAGCCATGACCACCCACATATGTGGAGACCACATCAAGGTGAGGACTATTGTCCTTAAGCTGTGAGCTTCCCAAAAGATGCCACAGTCATATACGGGGGTTCCGAATCTAGTGGCTCCTAACACTGCACGTCATGGCCCTCCTGCCACCAGCTTTTCCAACCGCTCTGCTCAGGGAATATGGCGAGGAGAAATGTAAGCTACTTGAGACTACAAACAAAGGCTACGTTCTCAGGGAAACCATTTCCGTTCTATAAAATCAAGACTTGGGAGGGTCCTCAAGCCACAACCCAACAGGTCCACCCCTCTACAACAAAGAGTTCTGACCACCGTTTCCCGATGAGGACTAACAGGATCCACCAGCCACATGTGTCACTCATGCACTCCCAGCAGGCGAGCAGCTGCAAGGTGTCATGCAGGAACCCTGCAGGGCACACAGCAGCCCACAGCCATCAGGGAGGCAGGGCTACAGCTCCCTGCGGGGCACATCTGCATAAAGAAGGGACGCGCCCACCCAGGCCAGGACCCACCTGCCTCTCCACCCACACCATACAGCTGCCTTTCTAGAACATTCTGCCTGGTACCCCCTAAAATCTGCACAGGAAGGTGTGCTGCTGGGGTTAGCCCTCATAGTGGGCCACCCTCCTTTGTGTCGGGAAGGCTTCCTGGGCAGAGCCAGGCCTACCAACCACATCCAAGAGCACAGTTCAAAGTTGAGCATTTCCTCAACCCGGCCTTGGGCTTTGAGCTGCTCTTCAGAAAAGAATGAGGACAGGCCAGCCCTACTCTTCTACACCATCCCACGTGCCGAGGCCATCGCCGTGTGTGGACTGAGGCGCTGTCATGGATGCACTCATTTGGCCACTGTTCCTTACAGGGTAGGGACAGCACCAGGCACTGGGTGCGGGCTAGGGGTGGGAGGACACACACAGGACGTGGTACCCTATCCCTGGGGAACTCGCAATCCAAGGCCAGATTTTCTGTGTTCTTTGCCCCAGAGAAACACGCAGAATTCCAAGTGACCCAAATAACAAACAATAAAGCCCATGCTAACAACACGCAATAAGAAGGACCCAAGGGGCACCGGCGAGTCATTCATTCACACTAAAGGCAACAATGGACCAAAAGACTCTGCCGGGCTCCTCGGAGGATCAAAGCAGTGTCTGGACAAACAGCCCCACGTGGCCCTCACCGTGCACCAGTCCTCAATCTGCTGCTATCAGAGCACCAACGACCTTGCCCTTGGGGTGACTCTAAAGTACGGAGTCTCTCACTCCAGCATCACTTCAAGTGTGACAAAACCGGAGCTCAGCTCCTAACCGCCACCTCTGCCCGACCCTGTCCTGATGTCCGCAGCTTACTTTATAATGGCTCAGCTGAAACATGAAAAGATATACAGGTACAGGATAAAGCAAAATCACAGAACTCTTTTTTTTTTTTTTTTTAAAGGTGTGTGCTATAGAGGGCATGAACGATCAGAGAAAAATAGTGAGAGGGAAAGTGAGAGATCTCCTCCGAGGGGTGGGTGACCATGCCACAGTCCCTTCTCTTCCCTTCTCCTGCGATCCTGGCCAGGCATGCATGCCTGCCCATTGTGATTTCCACCTGACTCCCGCCAGGTCCAGGAGTCAAACCACAGTCAGCCATGTGGGAATCTAGCGCCTGACTCACCACACCACCTGCGGGCTCAGTCCCAGAATGATTTTAGGAGATTCTATGACTGTGCGACCTTGGGCAGTGTGCAAGACCACAGTCCTCTGGTACCTTCTAAGGCATTGGAGAACTGGCAACGAACGATGTCAAGCTGGTTCTTCAAGTGGTAAGGGCCTCACCAGCCTCGGAACCACCAGCGATGAAACAATTACCTATTTACTATTGAATGGCCTGATAAGAAGAGGAAACTATGTTGACAAAAGTTTGTTTTATCATTACTGATAACAAACCCTCCTTAGGATTTTCAAACAGCATAGGAAGAAGCAAGTCTGGAGATCAGAGACCACATGTAGAATGTGGTGGAAAGAACGATGGAGCCAGAGCCATACAACAGTAGGAATGTGTTCGACACCATGGAACCACACACTTGCGAATAGTTCGATGGGGGCCAGCAGGTGGTGTGGTGGGGAAGGTGCCGGATCCCACATGGACGACCATACCATTTGAGTTCTGGACCCGGTGACTTGAGAAGTACACCAGGTACGTGTGTAGGCATACCCAAAATCCCAAGAGGAAGAAGTGTCATGGTGGGGCACCTCCCTCCCCCGGGGGGGTGATTTCTCACTTCCCTCTTGCTGTCTCTCTCTGGTGAGTTAACACCCTACAAAAAAAATATTAAAAAAAAAAAAAAAAAAAGAAAGAAAGAAAGAAAAAAAAAAGAAACAAAAAACCAAACAGATACCCTTAAATTGTACAAATTTTGTATTACCTATGTTTTACAATTTTAAAATTTAGCGGGGGAAAGGCACGGGAAGAAGCGAGTCTGCAGATAAGAGGCCACATTCATAATGTGGAAGCACAGAACTGACCCCCCCAGAAAACCCCTCCCGCTGCCTGGAAGGTTCTCATGGTAAAGATGTGATCTCCAAGGATGTGCCCCCCCACTTAATGGGTACAGCCACACTATGCCCCAACCCTCATGGTACGCCACGTTCCTCCTCACTTGCCTCCTGCTTTTTGGGCAGAAAGATCACCCTTCTTATCCTACAAATAGCACTTCTCACACAACAAGACAGTTCTCAAGAGTGAAGGAACTTCAGGAACTGTTTAAAATGCTAGGCCTCAGTATTAAAACCCAGGCTTTTTCTGCCCGGATATGTGTCCTCCAGGTCTTGGAGGTGTGAACATGAAAACAAAAAATTTAAACAAATATAGTGAGTACAGAGTCTCAGTTTTACAAGATGAAGAGTTGTGGCAGTGGGTGGGGGTGTAGGTACCCATTATAATGTATTACCCCCACTGAGCTGTACGCTTCAAAACAGTGACGATGGTAAATTTTACGTAGCGTGTATTTGATCATAGTAAAACAATAAAAAAATGTTAAGCAAATAAACATGAACTCATACAAGAGGGAGCTGTGTGGGCCTTTATTGCCGAAGACACAGAAACCAGTGCAGATGGCAAGATCCTGTCTGAATTTCTGCATTTTCTAAGGGGGATTAACTGGTGGCCCTAAATAGTGCTTCGGGCTTTAGGGACTAACAGCTGAGTGGCTCTTTGAAAGAAGACCCCCCACTATAACGTTGTATAAAAAGGGGAAACTAAGCCACAAGGGCTGGTGAGGGAAAATGAAGGTATGGCATTTCGTGCTCAGTGAGTAATTAATGAAAAATTCAAAAGCAGTTAGTAAGGACGGGAGAGTGTGTGTGTGTGTGTGTGTGTGTGTGTGTGTGTGTGCACGTGTGAGTGTGTGCGTGTGGACATGCACGTAAGAGAAAGTAGGTATTAGGTCACCAATAGAAAGACGTCAGCCCTTCTCTGAGGAAACTCAGGATGGAGGTGGACGTACAGGACTAGCTTCCATGTGCTCCACACGAGCCTGGCAAGTCCTCCTGAGAGCCCCCATCATCAGGCTTCCTGCCTGGGCTCCAGAGAGGGTCTGAACTGGGGCGTCAAGAGCCAGCACCCCACTCTGCAGGAAGCACTGCAACGGAGCACCCACCATGCCCCTGGGGTGCCAGGTGACCCGCAGCACTTTGTGGAAAGGGCCTGGCCGGGGGGCCAGCGGGGCAGGGGAAGGGAGGGACAGCCCCTACCTGCTGGGTGGGTGTGTATTTCACAGTGTGGGAGTAGTCATAGTTATCGATGATATCCAGATCCTTCACTGCGTCGCCCGGGAGGGGGCTGCTGAACTGCACGTCGAGAGGGGCTTTCCCGGCTCCCTTGGTGTAGACGGTGAAGTGGGTCGGTTTCCCGTTTTCCACTCCTGGAAAGACATACCGAGTGGTGAGGAGCAGGCCAGCTGGCTGGTTTCACTTTCAGAACCAGTCCGACAGGTCTGGCAGCACCAGTTCCCAGGGGAACCCTCACTGCCATCAGCACCCCACAGAGCACCTGCCCTTTGAGGGGTGAGTCCCTGAAGCCCAGGCCCTGGCATGCCCACTGCCCCTGGCTGCACTGAGCCCCAGGACCACCTCACTCATGACCTCTCACCTGCCTTGCTGAGCCCAGGACCTTCGGCCTTCACTTTGCTGGCGTCGTGGGAAGGGTCGACTTTGACTCTGAAAGGGCTGGCGGGGATTTCCTGCAACAGAGACGCTGCCTCAGTAGGAAAGCCCCTGCTGCAATGGCCAGGGCTCGGCCTTCAGCCCGAGAGGTTCACTGAAGGAAGAGCCCCAGCGGGCCTCTTCCTTTAGTGAGCAACAAGCAAACCTCCATTAGCCAAGGCCAACTCTGCGTACTCGAGCATCAGGTAAGGGCCTCCAAGAACAGGTCGTTCACTGACTCCTGGAGGCCTGATATCACAACCTACCGAAAATCTCTGGGCCTTTAGTACCCAACATTGAGTTCTTAGGATGAAAACATACTACCAAAAATAAAAACAACATAGGAGGTCAGGAGGAAGGAAACACTCTCCAGGGACAGCCCAGTGCTAAGGTTTGGGGAACAGAGGAAGTGCTCAGAAATGGAGTGACCTCAATTCTTCAGAAAGAATGCTGCAGTCCCTGAGAACAGCAGAGCAGGCGCCCTGGATGACGTCAACTCAAGGCCTTAACCTATGGCCACAGAGCATTCTCCTGAGGTTCCTATTGTGACACAAGGTGGATCTGAATCACCAGGATTTCAAAATTCCTGCTTTCAGTTACTTCTCACCCTGTCTTCACTACCACACACCCAAAACCTCAAAATGTCTCCCCCTAGAAAACTTTAAGGGTAGAGGCCAAAGTCGCTGCTTCAGGAACATCATAGAAGAACACACCTAGGGACCAGCAGTTAGTGTAATGGCTATGGCGCTGGACTCCCACGTAGTCGACTGTGGTTCGCGTCCTGGACCTGGTGGCTTAAACTCATGCCGGGCATGTGTGCATGCGTGCCCAAGATCCTGAGAGGAGAATGGAGGAGAAGGGATTATGGCACGGCCATCCACCCTGGGGGTGGCGATTTCTCGCTTTCTGTCTCTATGTCTCTCTCTGTCTGGCGAGCGCATGCGCCCTATAGTAAAAACCTCTCCAAGAAAAAGAAAAAAAAAGAAGAAGAACATATCTAGAAGTTAATTGCATTTCAATCAAACACTTGATAAACGTTAGTAACAAACCAATCTCTTTTCAGAGCCCGGCTCTTTTTAAGCCACCAAATACATTGCCTCCCTCTTGTTAGAAACTGGTAGAAATTGAGTTCTGGGTGGTTTTTTCCTTCTTGGTGTTAAGGAGCTAGAGAGAAAAACTATTGAGCAGAGTTTTCAAGACAAACTCCTCTTTTACTAGGAAAAAAGAAAAAAAAGGAGAGCCTCACACAGCTAGCCAGAAAGCACCCAGGCCCACTCCCACACACACCTGAGATGCAAAGAGAACTTTGATGGTGTAGCGGCCGGCGGCAGGAGGCACGTATTTGACCGTGAACGTGTCATTGGCATTGTGAATAATGTCAAAATCCACGTCTTCCTCATCTTCACTCAACACCCGGGCATCGCACTTAATGCCAACACTGACGTCACCTGGAACAGACCAGCTCATTAGCACCGGGTTACAAGAAACAGCATGTCCCGTGCAATCACGTCCAGCCCGGGCTAACCCTCCAAAAGAGCAACTGGGATGAGAGCTAAGAAAGGGGTGGTGTAAGACAGGGCTTGGGAGAGGGAACAGAGAATTGGCGGTGCTGTTACCAAGCACCTGACTCAGCAGCTCATTAGGAGAACAATTACTTGTTCAGATGGACAACTTTCTGGCTCGAAGGCTACAGCCCTGGAAGTAGAACCTTCTTCCCCAAGGAGCAACAATGCTGGGTGGAGTGAGCCCTCCTCACCTTCCCCAGCCTCCGTGCAGTCCACTGTGAAGTGAGTGGGCTCATTCGCCTTCAGACCGCTTCTCTCCACACCTGGCCCGAACACTTTGACCTTCTGGGGGTGGCTGCCTTGTCCGATGTTGACCTGGGCAGGACACAGAGCAAGTTACCAAGTGCTCCTCGGAAAACCCTGTTAGAAATGGCTCTTTGGAACAGTCTAGAGCACTCTGCCCTTCTGGGCATTCCATCTTCCTTTCTTTCTTTTTAATCCACTAGAGACAGAGAAAAAGAGAGAAAGCGCTCCCCACGGGAGATGGCCAGGCCCCAACTGCTTCTCCTCCATCTCCCCCTCCTTTCAGGATTTTGGGCACACACGTACATGCACCCAGTGTGTTTTTCAAGCCACTGGGCCTGGGACTTGAACCATGTAGTTGGCCATGAGTGACCCAGCTCCTTAACCATCAGGCCACAGGCTGACCCAGGCTACTCACTCTATCTTTCGAGGCTGGGCTCTTTCCAAGTATCTGTTTTGCCATCAGGCATGGAGCCCGGACCTACCGTTGGCCATAAGTGATCCAGCTCCTTAACCATCAGGCCACAGGCTGGCCCAGGGTACTCTATCTTTCGAGGCTGGGCTCTTTCCAAGTATCTGTTTTGCCATCAGGCATGGAGCCCGGACCTACCCCTCAACTATGCCTTTACTTGCGACAACCTGGATTCTGCCTCACAACTTACCCTGAAGGGGCTGTGTGGGATGTTCACGCCACCCCAGACCACAGCAATGGTGTGCTTGATGGCCTTGACTGGGGTGTACGAGCAGGCGTACGTGCCATCCATCCGACTCTTCATCTGGATGTCAATGGGCTGGCCTTCCCCATCCTGCAAAAGAGCTGGAGCTAGGACCAGAGGCGGCCTTTCCATTTTCTCCATCAAACAGGGCCACCACAGACTCAAGATGACCAAGTCGCCACCAGCTTATCCAACAAAACCCCTGGACCCACACAGTGTGCCCTGTTCTCACACCCAGGACAAGTAACGGAATATTACACGCATGTATTTTTAAGTGTTAGGAGCAAATGACCCAAAAAGAAAGCTACAGCCACGTATGCTTCTTAGTTTCAAGCCTAGCATTTCAGTTTCATAGCTAAATCCAAATAAATTATATAACATATTTTTTTAAGTCCTTGTTTATCAAGCTCCCATCCTGGCCAAAGTAGCTTGAGCCACATTAAAAGGCATTGCAGTGTAACTTAAAGCAATCAAGACTTGTTTCCATAGAATACAAGCTATAAAGATGATTTTTTAAAAATTTTTTTCTTTTTTTTTTTTTTTTGGAGAGTTTTTTTTTTTTTTTTTCCTATAGGGCACGTGCACTTGCCAGAAAGTGAAAAATCACCCCCCAGGGGGGATGGCCACACCGCAATCCCTTCTTCTCCATTCCCTTCTCGGAATCTTGGGCACGCATGTACACGCGCATGGCATGAATTTAAGCCACTGGTCCAGGACTCAAACCATGGTCGACTACATTGGAGTCCAGCGACATAGCCATTACGCTAACTGCTGGTCCCTAAAAATATTTTGCAGAAAACACTCTGCTTTACCTGTTAGTCTCATTTAATCCTCACAAAACCCCATGAGATGACAGACTTACGATTCCAAATACATGGAGGAGGAAACTAAGGTAACTTGCCCTTGTACGAACAAGTCTCACAAGTGACCCCTGGAGATTTACCTGAGCAAATATCTTTAAGGGAGCTTTCCCGGCATCCTTAGGGTCCACGGTGAACTCTGCCGGGCTGTTGATGATGCAGCCAGATCTCTCCAAGCCCGGCCCGTACGCCTGGACCTGGGGAGGAGGGGAGATGCCTGTCATACCCAGCTACACCCCTATGTGAAGCCTGGCATTCAGGGACCGCGGGAAGGGCAAAATGACTTGTGTCTGGTTTTATAGTATCCGTTTACTTAAGGAGATGGTGAAAGGAGGTGAAACGTTAACATGGGCTGTAACTAACATAAGAATAAGGAGCATTACTTCTCTCCTGAGGGAGAAGCTACTGTAAAACAGGGCCCAAACTAACCAGGCCTTATTCTGAGCTGACATAGGGAACCTTTAGTCACTGGGACAGGGACCTCCAACCCTGCTTGGTTTCATGCTCCCACGCTCAGGGGCCTCAGGAACCTTCACACAGACAAGATCCCCAAAGTTTGTGGCCCCGCCACAAAGAGCAAAGGACTAGCAGTTGGCCAAAGAGGAGTAGCTCCAGCCTGAACGGACATCAGCCTGTGGACAGCTGCCCAGCGGGCTAACTGCAGCCCTGGAGGTCGCCTCCTCAGCCAGGCTGGCTCAAGCTTGTCACCGATCAGCCTGCTAGGTATTTGAGAGGAAGCTCTTGGAAGCAATGCTTCGATTGAAGAGAAAGGCAACTGGGAGGGAATGAAGAGCATTATCTGTGGAACATCATGAACTAATAACTAAAGAAAGGGGCAAGATTGAAACAGGATGCTCTGTTGCAGGACAGCAGTTTACAGAGCTCCCTCCATGGGCCAGGCACCATGCTGAAGGCTGCCTTTATCCAGGTTGCCTCTGTGAACCAGCCCGGATGCTCCAGGAAGTAGATACTACTAATATTTCTATATTCTAGAGTTAGATACCAAGAGTCAGAGAGGGAAGTTACATGTCCAACGTGATGAAAGTGCTAAGGGTTGAAATCCAGGCCTGTTTCCTATCTAAACCCAAATGGTTCCTATCTGCCGTCTCTCAACTCATACTTAAGGCAATGAAGGGGCTGGGTGGGGCACTGCCAGGAGCCAGGGCAAAGAGGCGAGAAACAGGACGAGCTGACTCACCAGATCCGGGTTGTAGTCCCCTGAGGCTGGGTGGATGAAGGCCATGTACGGGCTGTCCTTGATGTCTTCGTCATCACACATGATGTGAACGGCGTACTCGCCAGGCTCCTTGGGCCAGTATTTGACGTCACACGATCCATCATTCTGGTCGTCATACTCAATCTTCGCCTGGGAGGGGCCTTCGATGGCAAACCCTGGGGAATGGGGTGGAAGGGCCTGCCTGGTTACATGGCGGAAAGTCCCTGGGTCTGTGTTACTAAAACTCATTCCTCCACTTGCCTAACAGTCAAATATTGGCCAGAGGACTGAAATCTGCTCGTGCCCCTTTTCTACAAAACCAAGCACACTGGGTCTTCACTAGATAACCCAAGGCTGGGTTTCACACATTTTGGACATCATTTCACAGGGAGAGACAACCAGCAAACCTCTCTATCGGCAATACGGCAACATGAGTTCAAGCCTTAAACTGGCACCCACCCTTTGCCCTATCAGCCCCACTTCTGGGTTTTAATCTGAAGGAAATAACCCAGGGTGTGCACTCGGCATTGTTTTTGTAGCAAAACTTTGGAAATAATGGAGAGCCTAACAATAGATGTAGCCATACAATGGAATTCCATGGCAACTGTGGAAAACAAAAGCATACCCTATTGTTACCTGAGGCATAAAGATAGAGTCTTTGGGAGTCAGCAGGTTGTGGCATGGAGGTTAAGGAGATGGATCCCACATGGCCGACTATGTGGTTCAAGTCCTGGACCCAGCAGCTTGAAAATCATGCTCGGCATGTGTGTGTGTGCATGGCCAAAATTCTGAGAAGAGAATGAAGAAGGGATTGAGGAGTGGCCATCCCCCTCGGGGAGTAGGGTGACTTCTCACTCTCTCTCCCTCTCTGTCTCTGTCTGATGAGCATATGCTCCTATAACGAAAACTAAAAAATAAATAAATAAACTATAGACTTTCCCTCAAGTACTTCATGTGGCAAATCAGCATTTATATGTGTACGTATAGGAAAAAAGTCTGGAAGGATGTGCCAAATAGTTTAATATTATCATAGACCAGAAAGATGTTGGGGAGTCTCCTCTTATCTATGATTCTCTTCTCTGTGGTTCCAGCTACCTGTGGCCAACTGGGGTCCAAAAATAGGTGAGTACTGTATGCTAAGATATTTAGAGAGAGGAAGGAAGACTACATTTAAATAACTCGTTTTTTAGAAATTGTTCCATTTTATTTATTAGTGGTTATTAATCTCTTACTGTGCCTAATTTATAAATTAAATTTTATCACAGAGATGGATATACAGAGAAAAACCGAGTATGCATCGCGTTTGGTACTCTCTAGTTTCGTCTTCCACTGGGGTTCTTGAAACATACCCTCCATGGGTCAGAGGTGACTGGAATACCAAGACGATTAATACTATCTAGAGAGAGACTTAAACGTCAGTTCTTCTTTTTCTCTTTTTGTGCTTAACCTAAATACAGGTTAAGCACCCCTAATCTGAAACTGTGAATTCAAAATGCTCCAAAACTGAAATATTTTCAGCCCTAACATGATGCCATAAGTGGAAAATTCCACACCTGACCACGTGTGACAGGTCGCAGTCAAAATACGGCGATACAAAAACATTGTATGAAATGATCTCCTTAAACTGACACCCACCCTTTGCCCTATCAGCCCCGCTTCTGGGTTGATCTCCAGGCTATCTGCGTGAGGTATGTATGTGAAACAGGTCCCATCCCATGATATCTCATTACATATATGTAAATATTTCTCCCCCCAAGTAATCCCCACTCCAAAACATGTCTGGTCCCAAGCATTTTGGGCAAGAGATATTCAATGCTTAGCTCAAACAGGAGTCACTAAACCATAGCTAGGGGCCAATGCTGACCTACTGTCTCGTGTTGTAAAAAAAAGTTTTACTGGAACACAGCCATTCCTGTTCATTTATGTGGTTTCTAGCGCTGCTTTCAGGCTACAATGGCAGAGTCGAAGAACTGTGAGAGAGACCACAGGGCCTGCAAGATGAAAATATTTGCCTCGGGCCCTGTAGAGAACGCTTGCTGACTGTGCCTGAAATGATCGTATTTGAGTCAGCTATGTATTTACAATATACTCATTTATGCACCAAAGACTGTACTTACTTCCCAAATTTCAAATTTCAGTGAAAGTCATTCATCTAAATTATGGGTCACCCAACACCTCGCCGTGATACCTCACGGTCTAATGAACGAACGAACGCTGGTGCCAGAAACAAAGGGAACTGGAAGGGCAGGAGGCTCAGAGCGGCAAGGCTGTGCCAGGCCCCAATACCCAGCCTGACATCAGGCCCAGGCGTGCCCTGTAATCTGCAGCCCTCTAGGAGCCGCTGGTTAGCTGCCTCCACTTACCCAGAGACCCAACTTCAGAGCCAATGGACTCCACCACGAAGTCTGCCGACCGCCCGACAATCCCACCATGGAGGCCAGGGCCCCAAGCACGGACCTTCTGCATGCCAGCTTCAGGGCCGACTTGAACTTCAAAGGGACTGAAAGGAAAGGAATAGAAAGAGCATTAAAAATTAGCTAAAAGGAGCTAGCTACAGCTGGAAGCTTTGACACACTTCCTTTCCGTTCGCCTGCTCCTCTCCCCAGCACCCCAAACTCCAGTCAAGCCCTTCCTCCAGCAGGACAGCCCCCCAGTCATTGTTATGTCATCAAAAATGTAACGTGGCTGGCTCAGGGAGCTCGTGGGAGGCCCCTGGGTTGGCACTTTCGCCACATCGCCTTGCCCTCACCCCTGGTCATTCACCTTCCATGTGCAGGGCTGCCCTGCCCAGGAGCCTGGAAGGTAAGAGTCTCCATTCCTCCATCTCCTGCTTCTGCTACACCAGGAAATTGGGGCTGCACAGGCGCCATGGCATACGTGAACGAGCGTGCTCTAACTCTAGTGCAGGGGATTTTTAGAAAGTGTCCTAGACTCTCAGAACCCTATAATGCCCTGATATTTCTCAAGGTAAACTGAACTTAGAGTTTAAAGGACCCCCACAGGAGCTGGAAAACACGTGAGCATGGGGGTAGGGTTGGGTGTGTGTGCATGACCCCCAGGGCCAAGCAGCAGACCTCATCCCTGGGTCCCCACCGGCACACGAGTACCTGGTTTGACTGGAAACCACGGCAGGCTGTCTGTGCCCCGTGGTCTCCGTGAACAGAGGCATTGAATGAGAAGAGAATCCCATTTCTATGAGGCTGTGCGTACACTTGGCCCATCCACTCTCTACTGCTCTTCCTCCGGCTGCCCTGCCTCCTGCCAGCCCCACACCGCCAGCCTCTGATTTAAAGCAAAGCAGCTGAAACCACGGCAACCTTCTGCTGCTTTTGAGAACAGGCCAAATGTCTGTGTGCTGCTTTGGGGGGGAAAGGTTTCACAAAGCAGCGCTCTTTCCTGCCTGCAGCCCGAGAAAGCAGCGGCCTGTGAGTCTGCCTGCCCTGGCCGAGCAGGGCTCCAGGGACGCCACATCTCCACCCGAGCCTCACCTCTTTGGAATGTGGTGCCCTCCCCATGTGAGGGCAATGCTGTACTTCCCGGGGGTGCTGGGGTAGTACTCGAACGCATACACTCCGTCCAGGAAGCCCTTCTGCTTCACCAGCTCCTCCAGGCCCTCTGCAGAAAGGAAGCAGACAATCTTTCCAGCACAATCCTGGGCTCCTCACAGGAATCAGACAGACAGGAGCCACAAGGCAGGAATATGCACCTAACCTGAGCTACCTACGAAAACCGAGGGGGCCACCCCAGGGCACAGGACCCTCCAAAATCTAGGAGATTATTCCAAAGATAAAGTCAGACCCATCTCAACTTCACAGGAAATGGTCATTTTCCCAGGTCACTGGCTTTTGAAAGCTCTCTGGGCTACAAGGAGCCCTGAGGTCCAGGACCTCCAAGCTGTGTGTGAGGAGAAACCCAGTCAGGTGTCCACTGAGGTCAAATGACTCTTCGCAGCCCAACTGGGGAGGGGTCGAGCCATCATGTATTTGGCATGAGTTTCAGGTCAAGGCCCTCCATGTATCTTTTTCAACCAAAGCTGAACCCCAAGCGCAAGGACGCCCCTGTGTGCTATCGGCAAGAGGCCGACTTTCAGATGCTACACCGCAAGCTCCAGACCCAGCCATCAGGCAGGAACTTGTTTTATGTTGAGCCCTGAGGTTTGGCTGGGAAAGCTGTCAAGTCGAGCAAGGATCCAAAGGAAAAAATGCCTCCTTGGCTCCTGTTGCAACAAGCTGCAGGGGAGGGCGGCCCCCGTGCAGCCGGGCTCCAGGTCTGCAGTCTAGAACCTCGGCCGGCCTGAGATACAGCCTTCCCCAGCACTGAGGTTCTGAGATCAGATACGAACTCTGGAGCTTGGAGCACCCTGCCCCAGCCTGCTGCAAACACAGAGGGTGACAGCAGCCGCTGAAGCCCCCAAGGCATGGGAGCCATGCCACAGAGCGCTGCACCTGTGACAACAGGCAGCTTCCGGGGCGAGGAAACTTGAATGGGGAAGACACGCATGCCTATATCTGCTGCTTCCTTCCTCTAAAAAGGGAGCGAGCGTGCGCCACAGGTGCAGCATAAACCGCCTCTCCACCAGTGGCATTTCTCTGCAAAGAACTCATCTGGGTAAATCTATTCTCCTGCAAGCACCAATCAAAGTGATGAAGTACTTGACGTAATTTCGCAATCATAAAATGCAACCTACAATGGGGAAATCTCTCCCTTTGGAGACTGGCCTTAAACTCCACTTCGGTGCCTACAAAGTGTATGCCCGTGTGTGAGAACCGGGCTCCACTAGGCTTCCCGAGACAGACAATGGCCCACTTCAGGTTGTTTTTCCCAGGGTGTTTCTCCGACTCTCTCACATCACGATTTCTCTGCTTCCAGAAGCCGCGAAGTAATATATGGCAGACATCACTAATCAATCACTACTCCCACCCCACTCCACCCCTACTCCTAGCCCGGAGAGCCTCAAATCCTTGATGTATCTCTCTGGACTAGATCGATTAGACTGGGCCACAGGATAAAACCTGTATGTCATGGCTGTAAACAGAGTTAGCCAAAAACCACACTGGGTGGGAAGAAAGCACTTACTGGGACCCTTCACGGTTACGCCAAGCTCCCCGCTTCCAGCAGCTTTGGTGTCGACCTTGAAGTCTGCAGTCTCCCGAACACGGACACCTTTGGGCTGCAGGCCTCGGCCACTGGCCCGGCAGGCGTTTGGACTGCAAGCTACAAGCACAGTTTGAACATCAATTCGACCTTTCATTCTTAAGGCAGAGTCGAGAATGCCAAGGTAACTTAGAGCCACCCACCAAGGAAGTGTTTGCTTTGCACAAAGAGATGCAGCAGTTGCCTCAGACCCGGTTCTGCTCGGGAAGCACACCAGGCTAGCACATGAGGACACAGCGGAACTTTGTCCAGCCACACCACACACGACCAGGGAAAAGCTCCTTTGCAGGAGAAAACAGGATTGCGTGGTGAATCCACGCTGTGCTCCCGGTTCCAGGGTTTAACCCTTCATGGAGGGAAGAGTGAGTGCTGGTTTTATGGTAGAGATTGAAATATTGGAGGGCATAAAAGCAGGGAAAATAGTTATGGACGCTGAAGACTGTGGAACAGGGTGGGGGGCGATGAAAAGGGAAAAGTACAGAGAAGAAAATCAGAGGAAATGGAGAGGCTTGACATAGGTGGGACACAGAAATGGTTTATTACCTCTTGATAAGAACGTGTATCGTATTCTCCACTGGACTGGTCTGAGAAGTATTTCATGTTGGATCAAGTCTTTTTACAAGCCAAATGATGTATAGCAATCAAATGTTTAAAATTATATA